TCTATAAAATGCATAATTATAGTAAAAGTTTTATCCTTGACTTTTCCGATTTATTTCTGTTACATAATTATAAAAAAAGTGTTAATTCGCCGAATTCTGATCCATGTGCTGCCTTAACAAACCCCCGTTACCTATTTGGTTTCTTAATAAACATTATTATTTGTCACTGAACAGATGAAAAAAAAACATTTGAAAATCAGAAACCTGAATTATATACAGTGGCTCCGCGGTAATCCTGATGCCAATAATCCGAATGCCAAACCTTGCGGGTGATATTTATTGGGATCCAATTTTATTCCACGTCTGTCCGTTTCGTTAATCCCAAATTTTGCATTCCGGATCTAGACTGTTTATTACACTACAAAATGTTAAATGACTCGTTTATCCAGACGTTTTCATACTTTTCTTGCAGTAGTGCTAATTATTGTAAAAACATTGTCTGTAGATACAAATTGAAGGCGGTTATATGCGACCTACAAACAATGACGCCAATAATTAGCGCGTGTTGAAACTGTACCTCTAAAGACACACCTCTTTTATATTATTAACCCGAAGATTTTAGCTTATACAATGCATTGGTAAAATATAAATTTGTTCAGAAGATAATTAATTGCTAACCACTCATTAATTCAAGATTAATAATAAATCACGAGAATTTCTTGTAGTATTTGATTTACGTTAGTTTAGCAAAATTTTCCATTTCTCTGATTTACGTAAGTTTAGCAAAATTTTCCATTTCTCAAAACGCACGTTAATTGAAACGGATTTCTACTTCGCACAACACAATTTATAAGGAAACAGAAAATCTTTAAAAAAATATTTTTATATTCAATGATCCAAGAAATACGTAATTGGCCCGAGATATTAATATCAATCATGTTTTTTGCTAGATACTAGGAGTTTATAGAAAAAAAATTAACAGGCCCGTGTTTACATTGAATGTATAGAATATGTACACCGATTACAGTGTTCAGTTACTAAGTTTCCTATGCAGTTGATTTATCTGGTTAGTCATTTGAACATTCTAAATGACGATAACTGAATAATGAATATTTCTACCTGAAATAAGCATAAATACATAAAATGAGAAGCCCGAAATGAAACAGCAACAGATTAAAATTTAGTCAACCCATGTAACTAGACTTCAAATTAAAGTCGGGTAAAGTCCTCTTATGCTAAAAGAAGAAGTCTTGACACAAAATTTGTTTTTCTATGTTTTATAATGTACACTTAATTATATTTTGGCTTTGAATATTTATTTTGTCTTTTAAAATTATGAATTATATTTATTACTAATAGTATATAGTTAATCTACTTAATACCTAGTAAGGCTTCTTTTAAGGTATCTATTGTATGAACAATAAATTTACTAGTCTTCCTTGTGACTTTTACTATTTATTTTCTTAGTTATTGATGCAAATCACTCATATTGCATTAACACTTCATGCAACAAAATAATTAACGGCAGCAGATTTGAGGTGGTGTATCAATTTTTGTTTTAAATTTTAAAAGTTGAAGAAAAATAAACATCTACTCCCAGGAAATAGCATTCTATGTCCTGAAAACCACTTGTATTTATTTGCAATATACTTAATTCGAATTTGGCACAGGTACGAAAATTGTAAAAATACAGTGGATAGATTTTTGTTAAAAATCAAGCAACATTTTTATACATTTCGAACTACAATTGACCAAGAGGTGCGGGAATATGCAGAACATTTGAGATAATTTACAAATTATATTAATAATGTTAGTGGAAGCATTTTGTGGTCCGAATTTCAACCCAAAACTTCAGAAACCTATTAAGTTACAATATAGATCAATTGCACAGAGCCTGGTACCTTGAATTGTTTAACTGACAGACTATATTGGATTTTTAGACTAGTGGGCCTTAACTAGTGAACCTTCGACCTAATGAACCGTAGCTGTTGAAATATTAAAGCCATCACGTTTGTCAAAAAGCTTGGTTGTTAGATTACCATTAACGTCTTCTCAAGTAAAGTATCTAAAATGGAATATTATTAATAAATTATAAATTGCTATTACACACTATCTTTTATTGTATAAGAAAAAGATTCTTTATAAAATATAAAATTTTCCTATTCAGTGCTTGCTATTCTGAACCAGAAACATTTTTGCTAGAATACAGAATGATATGAGTGTTAATGATTGAAATTTATAAATTTATCAGGAAATTAATCGACATAATGCAATATCAAATACCACTAAACCACATAGAAATGTTGAGACTTTGAAATTCCCTGTTTGGTATAGTCATCTGATCAGTTTGGAGTTTGTATAGACGTTTAATATCTTTACAGTTTATTCGATTTCTTTAATTGAACTCTGGAATCAGGAGGTGGGTACTTCTTTTTTATACAATACGCATTTCACATAAAAGAATATCAACCGAGCATATTATTATGGATTAACGAAATGAAATAATCTTAACAAGCCGCTAGTTTTTTCTGTCATCTTTTTAACACAGACAAATGAAAAAAACTAAGCTGTTTATTCTTATTGTGTTTGCTTTTTAATGATAATCAAAAGTAACTCAGGAAAAGAAACGTAAACAAACCTTTGTTTTTCTTTAATTTATGAAAAAAAAATTATCCAAAGAAGAATAATATTTAAGGCAATATAACATTCAACTAACTACAATAGAACATCAAAATTATAGAAAGTAGTTGACTTCAATACTCATGTACGGTTTTTTTTCCCAGAAACGTCAAGTTAGATCAGATATTGGTATTATGAAATCGGCACTATTGTAATTTTAGAGAAGATTATTTTCATTTATAGAATCATCAAATCAATATGCTTTTCAGAATCTATAAATACATGTAGTAACATAAGTCTATATACTGTTACATACCTGATTCTGTTTTATACCAATCAGAAAGCTAAGAAAGATGGATTGATTGATTGATTGATTGATTGGATATTGTTTAATGTCCCTCTCGAGAATTTTCTCTCGTAAAGAGACGTCAATGTATGCCTGTGAAGGGCTTCAAAGTAAGAAATTTAGACCTAAACTCGGCACTCAGGACCATTGGGCAATGAGGTTCTTTATCGTGCAAACGCCTACCGTGACACGGGACCTACGTTTTTTAAGGTCATATCCGAAAGACCTGTGACTTTCACTTCTAGTGACGAGCGCTTGGCAAAGGAACAGTCACTACCTTTGTTTACTTTTAGGTATGACGCGGCGCCGCGAACGAGAATCGAACCCGGGCCTCCTGATCACGAAGCAAACTCTCTACATGTACCACTATGCTATCGTGACCGGTAAAGACTGATAGAAAAGAATAATAAATATTAATACAATTCTTTAAGGGTTGGCAGTCAAGTAAAGAAATGCTATTCGCTGAATTGTTTGACAGCAAGATGTTCCGACCGATCAACCTTTTAACCGTATCAAAATACGCATTTTCTTGATGTGCCTATTTTTTTTCCTGAGAATGATCAAGTCTAGATGTTAAGTCATTGTCTTGATTATTAAAAATCCTGATACTTATATATTTCATTTCACCTCCAATATAGTCTGAAAATTAAGATAATTACGAATCATTTTTTCAGGGTAACGACATAGAGTTTAAACAGTAGTTAACACGTCAAACACAAAATAATCGATTACTCTACAATCTCAATTTGGAGAACAGTTATATATATATATATATATATATATATATATATATATATATATATATATATATATATATATATATATATATATATATATATATATATATATATATATATATCCATTATTCTAAGTTCTCTATGTATAGATATATGAATCTTCTTAATATCGATATATATCTTCTTTTTGTTTCATCAAACTAGAAAATATATTTTCATGATAATTATAAAACATATTTTTTCCGACTTGTACTATTAACAACATTTTTTTTCCATTAAAAGGCAATAGATAAACATAAAAAAATTAGAGAAAACAGCATATTCTTAGGTAAAACTACAGCAATTCCCCTCTCTTTTCTTGTTGTACGGATTCATCTTGTACTTCATTTTCATATAATTTAATTTCATTTGTATTCTCGTCTCTCATTGGTTGATTTCCAAGAAGGAACGCATAACATTTTGTATAATCTGGTTTGGTTTGGGACACGCCCCCTTGACGACCAGCTTAATCATTATATCCATGCAATCCCCTCATTTCCAGTCCTCGGAATCCATGGAAAATTCGAGATTAAATAAATGTACCTTCAACTATAAATAATTACTCGTTTTCACCTCCTGTAAACAAACATCATAGCTGGTAGATCTATGTATCAGTTATTACCTCCCTTCGCTTCAAATTACTTCCGTTACTACGGTTGTATTATTGCGCGGTAAATTTTAACTTATAAAAAGCAACACAATTTTAGATCAAAAGTTGTTTAATTATTTCAAAATTAGATTATAAGGAATGACTTTAATTCTTGGCCATATTATCGAGTATAATCTGGTTTCGGTCATTTTACGCTTTATTATAATCCGCGAAGCGGATTAAAAAGCGTAAACTGATCCAAACCAGATTATACTCGATAATATGGCCAAGAATTAGAGTCATTCCTTAATTATTTGCAATTAGTATTTAAAACCAAGGTTTTATTATTTGAGTTGCATCTTTGACTTTCAGAGGGCTTGGTGATCTACAAATGTCTTTACAAGAAGGATATCTTATTCATTGATGACAGTCAAAGTAAAATGAGGAACTTACAGAAACTTACTTTCATTTTCATAATTATAATTTTCACAAAGGTGCGTACCTATTTTATAACATTACATTTTCTGTAAGCAATATTTAATGTCATCAGACACTCACAAACATACACTTTCCCTGCTTTTTAACAAATCTAAATATGTGCCCTGCCCAATTGCATTGTGTCAAATCATATATTTCTACTTGACCGAGACTAGCCAAAAAATTACTTACCCTATATACTTAAGAAACTTCATAAAATATACTACTTCTAGTAGTAAAAGTTAAATGAATCTAAAACAAAAGATCAATCATATGTTACTTCTGTCATTTGAAGGATAGCGTGATTTGTGACGACCGAATTTGTGACATTTTGAAAGAAACTGTAAAAGTAGTAGGATCATGTCCTAAAAATAGAAAAGAAATGGAAGAGGTTTCCAGGCGCAAGAACTGCCAGCAATATGTTGAAGAAGCCAAACTCAAAAATTGCAGGGACTATGGAAAGATACAATACCACTGCGTAATTAATTCTTTTGGAAATCAATCGCTTGAGGTGTGTGCACCAGAGAAAATAATTTTTGGTAAGTAGGACAGCTTAAATTAATTTAAGTATAAGAAAGAAAGGAAAGCAGATGTTGTGGAAATAAAGCTTAGTTTTAGTTTTATCGGAAATCAAATGCATGAATAGTTCCTTAAGTTGAAATAAACCAAAAATTTGGAACTGAAAAAACGAAAAAAAAAAAAAAAGATTGTAGTAGACAGAAAATCTATGCACTGGTAAGTTTGACATGATGCAAACAAAATATTATAAATAAAAACAGTCAGTACTTAAAAGTTTCAAATTTTTCTTTGTTTTCCTAGGGTTTTGCACAGAATTCAATCAAGAGATAGGAAAAATCCTTGCTAATTACTATTTGGACTGCACAACTTTCATGCCACCCTGCGAAAAAAAGTATTACTCATCTAATGCATATCTATGTACGTACAATGTTTTCCATCACTTTATTAAAACCTACCTTATATACATAAATGGATGTTTGTCTTACATACATAGACTAAGTATTTACAAATTACCAAAAAAGAGTCATTTACATCAATCACAAGTTTTAAATCGATGGCCGAGTCAACTGGGTGCACTTCATATGCAAATAAATACTGGGTTCTGATTCTTTACTTGGATGGTTGAGTCAACCGAATCCAGTTTGGGTGGTTTAGTATAATAGGGAGGTCACCTTGGGGTGTGCGATTCGGGTTCTGATGGGGAGATAGAGAATGAGACCTTAAAAATCAAGTCCCCGATGAGAAAATGATTCTCGAACGGGACGACCGTTCACGGTAGCTCAGTCGGTAGAGCGCTCGCTCCGTGATCGGGAGGTCGAGAGTTCGTATCTCGGCCGCAACTGACCTAGTCGTTAAAATTGGTAGCAACTGTTCCTTCGCCATGCGCTCGGCTCTTTGAAGTGAAAGTTGCGGGTCCTTCGGATGAGACCTTAAAAACCGAAGCCCCGTGTCAGCGGCAGGCGTTAGCACGATAAAGATACTGCTCAATAGCCCTGAGTGCCGAGTAATAGTCAAAATTTGAAGCCCTTCACCGACGCAAGGTGACGTCTCCATATGAGTTAAAAATTCTCGAGAGGGACGTTAAACATTATACAATCAATCAATCGACAGGATGTAAAATAACATAGAATCAATAAATTATTACCGCATCATCGATCCCCTAAGCCACTAGCCATATTCAAGTATTACAAAGTATGTTTGATTTTAAACCAAGCAATCCAGAAAATTCAAATTGGAAAATGTATATCATTGATCGACTGACAAATGAAATGTAAAGTGGCTAGTCTTTAAACTGTGGGGCAACTTTATGAAGCCAGGCATTGCTACCATTAGTTTTTCGTGTGTTCTATGTCTTCGATTTCTTGAAAGCTTGCACTGCTTCTGTGTGAGAGGTTCTTGGTTTTACTCTTTACACCTGACGAAAAAAAGAATAAATATCAAAAATCAGAGTGATAGCGTTAAGGGTTGGTCCATACTTTCACACAATTCTGTCAAGCTAATTATGGTTTATTCGCATACATTTAGTAACTCATAAACCCACGAAATCACCCATACAAGACGTATCTTTGCAGGATAATTGTCATGTCTCAAAGTGTTTACCTTTCGAATTTGAAGAACCAAAATTGAACACCCTTCGTACATGTACCTAGAGTTTTGAATATCAAGTTTATCAATCATTCTCTGCAAAATAAAAAAAAAAAAAACGAAAATATAAAAAGGTGAAATAGACTTAAATCAATAAAAAATAGATATAAAGTTAGTTTGTTAAAAAATTTTATAAATCTTCAAGTCCATAAAGGCAATTAAGAACAGAGTGCAAAGTGTTTATTTTCATAAAAATGTATAGTTTATGCTTTGTATGCAAAATGACACGATGATAAACAAATATAGTCTTGCTATATTATTAACAATCATCCAAAAAGAATTTGATTTCAACAAACAAGCGATAATCAGAATTTTATGTTGGTGTACAAAATCAAACCTGGATCCATTAAGACATGGACCATCCTTAAGTATTGACATGATAGTCAATTGTGAAGAAAAGACAAGCATGTGTTCTAATATTTCATGTTTTATATTTTCTTATTTATAGATGTTTTAAGATCTATTAAAAAATAGAAAAACAAAAAGTTGACCGCACATTTGATTTTTTCAGGTGTTTTTGTAGTAAGACCTCGTGCTATATGAAAATAATAACAGATGTATAAAATAAGTATCATCATAACTTTTTCACGTGAGTAAAATCTTATAGTCGGCATTAGATTTTGCAATTTTTCTAGAATATGACCTCGTTTTTTTTAGTCATGATAACATATGTCTAAATTTAGTATCAGTAAAATTGTTTTACGCGACAACATTTAGGGTATATTCGATTAAGCGACACGAGTTACAAGAGTTTTAAATAAAACAAGACATCTTCGACACGGGTGACCAACCCGTATCACGTGAGTTTACAAATCAGTTTATCCTGAGTAACTGATTAAAAAATAAGAGAAGTGAATTTGCATTGTAAATCTCAAGCTAAACTGTTTGTTTCTGCATCTAGTTGACAGTGTTTGTCTAAGACCATTAATATAGTCTGCAATATTGTTCCTAATATTTTCCCTCTTTTTTGGTTTCCAGGTTAATCTCCTCAAATCACCATTGTGGGATCATCAGTTTTTATTTTTTTAAAGAAGTTTATCCAGTTTTTTTCTCTGCCTGAACTTCTGGCCCCGTTTAACAAAGGAACTTACGACTAAAATGATTTTATTTTCTTTTCAGAAAAAAATGCCTGTAATAATGAAGAAATTATTATAACTATATCTCTATACTTGCAGACAAAGGGTGTTATAACTACAGCAACAATATGAAAGTGTGAGTACATAAAGACGCTTTTCACTAATAGATTTTGATCTGACCTTACATACAATGATGCAGTAAACGGAAATCTTTTACGTCTGCATAAAATACGTGGATTGTTTGCCATTATTTAATAAGATGTTTCCCCAGGTTCACCGTTTGTTATCAATTAGATCTCTTCGTCCGATTGTAATGAATAAAATATAATTTTTGATTTTTTTTGTGAAAAACAATTCTCCATGCATTTGGAACATTTTTACTTTCGTAAAATTATCTTCTTAGATTTTTAAAAAAGACACTGTGCAGTTAAGGTTCCAGATGGAAATAATGACAAATTCTAAAGATAAATAGAAGATATTCAATGTTTTGTAGTTGAATATGGAATTTATTTCACGAGTGGAGCAGGATTTTTTTGTTAATTTCACGAGTGCGAACAATTCAAAGCTAGATGTAAATAACAAATGTTTTATTTTTTATAGAGACTTGTCACATGATGTGGTAGTCACGTAATTTTAGTGAATAACCTAGCAGTATTAAGACCATCATTTAATTCCAAAATTACAATAGTAGAATTAAAAAAGAAGTGATTTGATGTACAATTCTTTTCAGCCTTCTGTTTAGTTTGTGAAAAGTGCTATAAACAAATGTATACAGATTTTAAAACAACTTCAATTAATTTTTACATAATTGTACATAATGTATCCTAACGTCATATTCCATGAGGGCGTGATATCAGAAAATGTTCATGAATTTCTTAACAAAGAACGCACGTTTTTTGGAAGTAATAATAATGAATGATTAACACTGATATTACATGAAGTTTTTAATTTCAGTCGCACAGAATTTCAGAGAGGTACGTTGCATGCATATCTATTTACATAGACATTATTTCCTGAGCTAAAAGCTGAAGCGAGCTTTTCCGATCACATTTTGTTTGTAGTCCTCTGTCTGTCTTTCCGTCTCTCTGTAAACTTTTTATATTTTCGACTTCGCAAAAACCACTGGGCCAATTACAACCAAGCTTGACACAAAGAATTCATAGGAGAATGTTATTCAAGTAATTTTTTTAAAGAAGCATCTGGCCTTTTTCCAGGGGGAGATAATCAAAAAATAGTAAAAATGGTTGTGTGTATGAAAAATCTTCTCAAGAACCACTTGGTCGGGAAAGATATAACTAATTTAGAAGCATCATCAGGTAGTGTTAATTTAAGTATGATTAAATCCTGACCCCTTGGGGTAGGGTAAGAACACAATGAACGACCAAAGTTTTACATAGGAATATAAAGGAAACGTTTTTAAATAATCTTCTCCTGAAGAATAAAAAGCCACCACTGGATATATTTATATCGAATCATCCTCAGGTGGTGTAGGTTAAGTTTGTTCAAATCATGATCCCCAGGGGTAGGTTGTGGCCACAACAGACGATCAGAGTTTTACATAGGAATATATAGGAAACATCTTTAATAAAATATTTTCTTCTGGAGAACAATAAGCCATGGCTAGTCATATTTATATGAAAGCATTCTCAGGTAGTGTAGATTCAAGTTTGTTCAAATCATGATCCCTTGGGTTAGGGAGACGCCAAAATGAAAATTCAGACTGATAGGAAAAAGCCACAGTTATTCAAAGAAATATTTAAGCATTCATAATATAGATTTAATGGAATTGAAATTAAAAAACCCTCTCCCCTTTAGGGGTAGGTCAGAAATACTTATGCATCTATGCTTTTCACTACTGGATGGATTTTTGGTTTTTTTCCCAGTCACAGTTCTGATCAGGTGAGTGATACGGTCGACGGGCCTCTTGTCAAAGTAAGATACAACTACATTGTATACATGTATATATGGCAAGTAAGAAAATTAAGATAAGTTGAAAATTGATTATAATTTCAGAAAAGGCTTCGAGACATAATAATCTGAAAACTGAAAGGTTCTGTTGTATGGCGATTTTTTTATGTACGCATGCATTACATAAAATTTGATTTCTGATTTAGGCTTAATTTGTGTTTAAACATACCCTTATTTTTTAAATTCTTTACTAAATCCCATTCGAAGAGGGCACTACCCTTCATTTAAATAATCTTAAATTCCTCTTACTCAAGAATACCCTTTTGTTAAGTAAAATTGAATTTTGTTCAGTTGCATTTGGAAACTAATGGAGAATTAGCTGCAATAATGTAGCCCTCTCCCTTTATTTTTATTTTTTTTTTGAAGAGGACTACAACTCCTTAGGATCTCCATAATGGCGCAGAGCGGCAGCGAAACGCTCCCGCACGTATTTCAGCTCAAATTGTCGTAAACAGCAATTTATTTATATGTCTTACCTGAACTTCCAAATTGTAGTTATCCCAGACATAAATCGGTCCAAAATTATACAGAACAATCCATATATCAGTATTTATCGTGTATGTCAACATCACAACTTAAATTTATCCGCCATGTTTACTGACCTTGACAGATTATATTTTGGGACAGCCAATGAGATTAAGGATCTATAGGGAGCGGATTTCTTTGGAATTACCTTATTTTAAGCCTAAATATCAATGTTTACGAAAAAATGTCACATGGAATAGCTTTATTCATCGATGCTTAGTGTTACTATTCATCACTATTATTTAGAAACATCGACATTTGCTTTATTGAGTTATTCGAAATTTCAAGCGCAAGTCTCACTACGTTACGCGTGAACTGTCATGGCTGCTGAAAAAGCGAGAAGAAATCATACAGATTTATTTTACATGGTTTTCGCGTTTAACGAGCTATGATGTCGACAGTGAATAAAAATTTTGTCTTATTAGAAGTAAGTTGAATGTAAAAACAATTTATTCGGCCTGCAGTCGCTCGTAATATATAATAAAATATTTTTGCACCATTACGGAGATGCTATGGAATTGTAGCCCTCTCCAGAAAACATCAGATAAAAAAAATCGGAGAGGGCTACATTATTGCAGCTAATGGAGAATGTGAAATTTTTGACGACATGTGATAGAGAACATACGACAGACGGTAGCCAGACACCCTTATATTAGCAAACCTCACTTAAGCCTTTAACAAAGGTTAGCTGTAATGTATCAGCTTTGTATTGAAAAAATGCAGTAATCAAAGGAATATCCTCTCCTAAATAATTTCTCAATTTATTGCCAATGTCATAACTCTAAATAAAACTAACATTTAATTAAATATTTCCTTTCAATAAATTCAGGTATTGATTTATTTGTTTAAAATTGATCATGGATAAATGCATTTTGTTAATAAATCTTTCCAGGTAACCTAGACAGTAAAACAATTCAGACTCAAAGGAACTTCAGTAGTAGGGAAACGACAACAAAGACCGCCACAGCCAAAATTCAGACCAAAATTCAACACTTAGAAACAGGTTACGATAAATTTAAAAGAATGAATTAAAATTATATAGAGCGGTTGTTTTGAAAGGGTAATATGACATACTTAATTTTTGCAATGTAAATCATGTTTAAGAACCCCATTCATTTATTTTGACTATTTAATATAAAAAAGAAGCAGCAAGTTATATATGTACCTTTAAGATGTGTCATTCGTAAAAAGATGTAGTACTTAAGTTCCAACAAATTTGATGTTGCACTTTGTATATCTGAAGATCTTTCTTCTTAAATTCCTCCCATCACAAGAAATTAATGGTCGACAATCAATCTTGTTTCTTGTGACTTTTCGAGCAGTTTTAATATTGAATTGGGTATGATTTTCATTCTTTAATTGAAATACTTTATAACATTGAATTGTCATGAATAGTTTTGAAGATTGAAGTTTGCGTTTTCTTAAAAAAAAATGACAATTGACATATCTTCATTTGTATCATGTATTGGTCACATTGATGTGTAATTTGACGAAATTTCCCCTCCAGGTAAACTAGACAGTACAATTGTTCACACTCAAAGGGACTTCAGTAGTAGAGAAACAACAACAATGAACGCCCTATCAAAGTTGCAGACTAAATTCAAACATTTCGAAACAGGTAATATAACAAGTAAAACGTGAGAAAAGTAAATAAAAAAACTTTTATTAATTAATCTTAACATTACAGGTTTAAAAGTAAAACTTTTTTTTTTAAATTATTTATTAAAAAGCACGACATTTGTTACATGTACATGTACCCTACAAAGAGCAGAAACCAGGCCTCCATTCTTAATACACATGTAAAAGGTGTGATGTTTAAATGAATATACGACTTTATTAACTACATCTGACGAGTAATGCATGTATAATTAAAGTTTTCAATATAATTTTCAGTTAAAACTAGAGGTATTATGAGCAAACAGCTCGCTAATTGTTACCCCCACCTCTAATATGTATAAAATTGCAGTACCTATGTTTTACTGTGGGAAACCCAAAATGTGCGTCGGACCAAATGAAAAATAGGAGGTGCACAATGGAATACGTAATAAAGATTCTTTGAAAGTTTCATTAAATTTTACTCAGTGGTATAAGAGGAGTTGTGGTAAAGAGATGGGTATCCCAAAGCGTAACAGACGGACAGACGTACAGACAGAGGGACGTGCCGACAACTATATACCATCCCGCTGTTCAAGCCGGGGGTATAATAAAAATCGGATTCTTCGGCAGTTTACTAATTCTGATTTCGTTTGAATGAAATAAATGAATGACAAATTGAATAAAATAGTATATATGATACGGATGTGGCTCCAAGAATAATAGCACCATTGCTATAAAATTAAAAGGAATCAAAATTTTTGTACTTATCAATTTTACGCATATTGATTCAATATTTTATTATTTTCTTTCAATATTAATTGAAAGGAAAACAAAAAAGGCAGGGTAAACTTGAGATGTGAAATGATTTTGTTTTTCCTTTTGTATTTTCTAGTTTTTCTATCTAACGTTTAAAATCATCTTTAATAAAGATGCAGTAAAAAAATCAATTCGACTTAGTCTCATAATTTGTCACAAAAGTAAAAATTTGAAATTTTCATTATCTTCAATGTCTCCATTGCGCATTTGACTTCTTTCTCTTTTGCATAACCTTTATCAGTTTGTTTATCATACCACTTGGTATATTTTAAACCTATTCAACAAGAGAATCCTTTGTTGAAAGGGACCATCTTCTGAA